TCACCCTGCAGAGGGTTATGGGTAATAAATGGCTTCAGCAGCAGATTATTGTGCACACCTTTGGTTGTGCCAGAGGTGGGGTACAGACAAGGAGAGGATAAAAGTAGCTTTCCATCAGGCAAAGTCATTAAGGCGGGAGATATTTCCAGAGAATGTGTAACTCCACGTCCCCAGAGCTACAAAGGCTGAAGTAGTTATAAGCTGCAAGAAATGCTTTCGCATGCCAGCATTAGGAATACGAGTGTTTTATTTGTGTATCCTAGCAAATATTATGGGCTGTAATGATGAATGGCGTACACTATGGGAGGAAGAGGAATTTATAGGGGCCCCAACATAATCTAGTTTCTAGGGGTCCTTGTAGATGAACTATTTAATGAAGCCCTACAGATTCCTCTTTAAGTAACCCTATCATGACAGTAATATGGAGGCTTTTTGTTGTTGAAGTCCGCAGTTCATGCATCCAAAAAGAAACCCCTGTGAACAAAAAAAGTGAATAGTGAAATCACTACACACTAAAAAAAAGTGCACGAGGGTGCTGTGGTCTTCCTCTAATGAGGAAGGGCCTCGATTTCCTGAACACCCCGGGGCGCAAGGCTCCTGACAGGGGCAAGGACGACTTAGGTCCACCTGCCCAAAGGCCGGCGGACCCCGATCCTCCGGGACCTGCCGAAACAGGTCCCTCGACTACTAGGTGGGGGCTTCCCCGAAGAGAGACCCCCGAGTGGGAAGAGGCAGGGAAGCCCAAAGAGGCCACATAACCTCCTCCCCAACTTCAGGAATGGGTCCCAAAGGTACCCGCACCCTCCGGCTTCTGTGAAGTCAAAAGGGTATCCATGCATAAAAATAGTGCTTAAAATAAATAAGTGCCTGTGCAAAAACCTGGCACGCCATACGGCCAAGGTATAAAAATTGCCAGAGGCTAGCCAGAAGGCCTGCCCAAGAAGCATGGTGCAGAAAAAGCTTGAGTGCCATGACCTAGTGCAGGTGAATCAAGTGGGGTCCCAAACCCAAGTGATTATCCAGCACACCCTGAGAGGCCACTCCCAGGAGGCACAGTACCGTGGGCCTCTGTGCGCCCCGAACCCTCCGGCTAGACAAGCGCAGCCCAATCCCTACCAGAAGGCATTAGCACCAGAAGAGTTACTGCCTACAACTGAGGACAAGCCTGGCATAACCCTGTCAGAATCAACCCAGGAGGAAAAGAAACCCCTCCGGCACCCACCTATTACTCCAAGGAGTTTTAAACAACCATCTACCGGGACGAGGATAGTGTTGTTCTTCCCTGAAAACTGATAAGAACAGATGCTACACTTGATCTTAGCCAAAAGGCAGAGAAGAGATGGAGGCTGCCATTGCTGACCTGCTTCTGATAAGCTAGTTACCTGGCTGTCATGTTGACCCTCTGGCTTCAATACATTAATTAAAGCATTATGATCAGGGACAGCCAGGCAACTAGCTTTTTTAGAAGAATATCAGTATTGGCAGTCTGTGTTTTTCTCTGCCGGAGGATATGAGGCACGTAATACAAAAAGAAACCATTTAAACTGTAGTTTTGAAACCTCACTTGATACAAGCAATTCTAAAGCTATAAAAGTGGCACAAAGACTAGGAATACTAATTTACTGTTTGCATGCGAGTAATGACATCAGCAAGGTGATTTTGATTTTAAAGCTTAAGAATCATAAGAGAAGAGAGTCTGTTCTGCATAAAACCATGCAGGATCCACATTTGCCTTTCCTTCACTCCCATGCCACTCAGCTGCAAAGAAAAATACTCAGGTCTTCAGAGTATGGAGAGCATGTGACTCAATGTTTTCCCATGTGACAGCACTGGTGTTTGGTGATTGGCTGTTCAACACCAAGCTGTCACATGGGGGTCTGGGAGAGAGTCATCAGCCCTGTGTAAGCTCAAAGTTGGGTAGCAAACATCCTCCAAACAGAGCACCTGGAGAGCGAAGGGAAGGGAAGTACACTGGGCTGGTTTGGAACCATTAACGTGAACTTGTTCTTGCAGGAAAATCTTAAAGTTTAAATAAAACCCAAGAACAACCATGTAATATACTGCAGCTTACCAGTCCTTCGATAAAGTGGCTGCATTCGTTTTATTTTTTTTCTAACTTTATCTTTATTTTTTTGGATGATCCTGCCAGTAACATATTTCTTGTCCTACAGTGACAACACTCATTCACCACACTGTATCTATGGAGGAGCATAGGACAGGGCTACAAAATACCTCCTTCTTTCCTTTTGTATTTTATAGTCCACAAAGAAATGGGGAAAATATGAACTGATAAGATTGCAGCAGAGGGCAGAGCGCACAGAACATAATCAACTCTCAAGATTTCTGGAAGGACCAAAGAGTTTTTTTTGCACTTATTGAACTGATATAGCAAAACACTTTCAAGGGTATATTTAACAGACCAGAAGGGCCCAAACAGGATAAATTAATTGTTAGGGTTTACATGTACTGTAAACACTGTGGCAGCTACAATCAGTGACAGCACAAAGAGCTATATCATGCAGGATGTGGGACATCACGGATACTTAGACCGCCAGAGCCCAGAGAAGAAGTGGCTGCAGGGACCGGTCTAGCAGCTAGGTGGGAGTAAAGATTGGGCAAGTATATCTTTTTGTTTTAGACCTAGACCAAAACGAGCACTTATCCCTTGCAGAGCGGGGGTAGCCACACTGCAAAGGTTAATTTATTACAGGCCTGGAGCTGTTCTTTAATGAGAAAGTCACTGCAGAGGACAAGACATAATGTCAGAATATTCAAAAGTGTGACCCTTCTGATATTACTCTTCTGGGACTCCATCCAACTGACCTCTCATACCTGCGTTAACACTACAGCTCAGCCAAGTGACTCATAACAATTAATGCTACTCACTATAATTTAATATTACCTAAGGCGCAGCGGTCTCAGAGGCTTCTATGCAAACATCAAGCATGGGTATTGGCTAGCGAATGCTCCCACCTCTCTTTGCCCAGTCCAACGACGTCACCAGAGAGAGCTGAAGTCCAAAAGTTTAGCCAGAGATTCCATAACTAATGCTGCAATAACAGTAGTGCACTATGGCGACAGGCTAATAAGATGCAAGATCACGTATTACAAAACAGCAACTGGTATATTTTGTTTCCATGGATCATATTACTATTTCTGTGGATGGGGTGGGGCACGGGTTCAGCACATACATCATTTTGAATCACCAAAATACATTTTCTGCACAACACGAAAGCCTTCAAAGAAATCTAATGCAGTTGCCATATTGCAGAAGACTGCCATGAAAGACTACTATAGCACAAGAGAGACAAGTACATGATCAAAAATTATTTTGCACATGCAGGTCAAAGTTTTTTCAGCACAGGCTAAAACGGAGCCTGTAAAATATTCACGTTTATAGCACTTCAGCTTCCAATATGAACTTAGCCTTCAATTCCAGCTATTATACAGTATATCGTGTCATTTTGGGTATGATTGGGTAGGATTTAATCCTCCTTTAAGTTTTTTTAATGTCTCTGGGACTCTGGTCAGCAAACCTCCTAAAACCCCTTCTTTGTCCTTTAAAGGCTGCACCTGGTTTTAATGAGAGCCAGTCACAACTGGACTTACACAAGAATATGAGTGTTCAGTCTTGAATAACTATAATGGCTTACTTATGAAAAAACTTATATTTCCTCCTTTATTTAGCTTCACTTACTGGATGAGTCTGAAGCTTTGTAGGGAGTGCCATAGGTTACTTGACATTTGACAGTTGCTGCCCTGCCTAAGTGCACACACTGTTTTCCAGCTCCTGAATGTGTATTACGTGAAATTAGACAGATACCAGGATGACCTCTTACCCCCCTGACTCAAGTTGAAGAGTCAAGCTGGCCATGCACAGGTAGATTTTCATTGGAACGTACATATTAAAACTCCTATTAAAACAGAACGTTCAGTAATGCCATCAGCATCTTATAAAATGAAAATCAAAATTTTGTTTGATTTTAACGTACAATTTTGAAATGAATGGAGTTTCCCAAATGAAAACCACATTCACTGTTAGAGTTTTGTTAATTCGAGAAACAAATTCCATCCTGTTCCTTCAATTTTTTTCATCACTGTGGTCGATTTGATCCTATAAACAGTTAGAAAATCGAACTTCTGCTGGTCTATGGCCAGCTTCAGACTCATACAGAGTAAGTAAACCTGAAAATGGGGGGAAACACAATACGTTTAGAAGTAAACCACAAATATTTAAGATGAAATATTCCGATTTTTGGATAAGCCCAGTCATGATTAGCTTTCTTTAAAGGAGAACTATGAGGTGAGTGCTTTTCACTCACCTCATAGTTCTAGCCGACCTGTGACAATGAGACTGTCACAGGGCGGCTCAGTAGATCGGGAGGTGAGCGAACACATACCGGCGTTCGCTCACCTCTCGATCCTGTCATGGCTCTCTGCTGTGACAGGGGAGGGGCTGGATTCCCCCCGCTCCGATCCGCCAGCGCTGACTGGCGGAACGGATGGGGGAGGGGCGGGTACAGCTGGCTCTGCCTTTAGATAGGCAGAGCCAGCTGTCAGTCACGCAGCTGGGCGGATCCCGGCACAATTGTCGGGATCCGCTTCAGCTGCGGCATCTCAGTATACTCAGTATACTGAGCCTAGGTTGACGGGAGGACGCTAGTTTGTGTCCTCCCGTTACCCTAAGGAGAACTATGCGGAAAAGCCTTAACCCCATAGTTCTCCTTCAAGACAGCAGTAGTAATAATGTTCATTTTGAGCTATACTCTCCATATGCATACATGTGCACCCTACTTGTCTCTCTTAGAAATATATGGAGTAATTAACTCAAGGTGAATAAAGACACCTTTCAGCTTTAAGGATGTAACTCAATTGCATAGCAAAGGTTTAAAGAGACTTCCCTACCTAACTTCCAGAGATCCAGCCCAGCAGGAAATCAAGCCCTATCTCACTCCATGTAAAAACAGAATGTTCAGCTTTTGAATACTAATATCACTGACCTGTACGAATGTCATGATTGATTCCTTCCACAGATATGACAGCATTTCCTATTCCTCGGCCATAAATATCTTTCACAATGCCCTTAATCCCACGGTGAACCTGGAGAAACATAGGGGAATAAACACAAGATTGACATCAATAATGAAACAATTCTAGTAATATTCAACAGTACAAAGAATTACAAGCTTGTAAGAATTCAAGATATTTTCCATGCAAAACTTGGACTGCAGAATAATGATTTTACTATTGCTGTGCACAAATACCTGTGCTTGAGTGAACATCTATTGCCTACAAGCCTTGCTGAACCAGAATATCTTTGTTTTTCCTCCATTATTACACTATTATGTAAAAATATCAAACATAATATGAACAATTATGTAAAATGTGCATAGAAAGCTTTCCTGGTCATCACACTGTTGGCTCTAGTTATCTGTTGCTCACTTGTCTGCTATGTATTATATGGATGTGATCTACAGATTTTTAAACGCCTTTAAACCTGTGTGAGTTACAGGACATCATTATAGTCGCTGAATGGACAAGAAATGAACCCAATGGGTGAAGGCACATATTAGTAGAATGGACTGGGGGTGGGGGCATGGGGGGGGACTGATCAATTGAAGAGTTAACTAAATAATGAATTATTAAAACTATACAGCTTTGACTATATTAATAGATCTGAAGTAACTTACATTTCAGATTTAAAACCAATACTAACAAATTTGAATACACATTCATGGCATGTATGTGAATTTGTTGCAGATACCGTCACGAAGGCAGGACAAATGCTATTAGGTGCAGCAGGCAGCCTTTGTGAATTCCCCAGTTAGTCTTGTGAACCACCCTCCATGCTACTGTGCTATATGACTGCATGTCATAAGGAGACGGGATATTTCGGAGCCTTCAGACTTGGTACCACTTCTCCGCCCCCGCCTTTACTTTGGGCTACTATTAAATATGATTGATGCCCACAGTGAGCTCACTCCTTCCTTTCAGCTTTCATAAATATCTATCCCTGTTGGCCATCAGCTAAAATAACAATGTGTGATGTGAACAATTACTTGATATTTGAAGTAAAATGTAAGCAAACTAAAGTGAATTTTACTGCTTTCTAAAAGTTTGAACTATTGTTTTTTAGTGAATAGAGTGTAAGAAAATATAATATAGTTAGAATTGATTCATTTCGTCAATAATGTCCCTTCCATCTGCATTTTACAGCCTTAAGGAGGTGTTATAAAAGCTGTGTCCACTCAGCCAAAAGAGCATTTGTGAGGTCAGGTGCTGATTTTGGATGAGACGACCTGGCTCACAATCGCCATTTCAATTCATCCGTCAAGTTTTCAGCAGGGTGGAGGTCTGTGCAGGGCACTTGAGTTCTTCCACTCCAAACTTATCAAACCATGTCCTTATGTGTTTACCTTAAAGTTGTTGTAGCATCATTAGTACTCTTCACTGGAAACACAAGAACTCAATAATTTGGAGGGGTATTCACATGCTTTTTGGCCTTAGAATGTATAATTAAAAAATGTACACAGCAATAAGGTCTTAAAACAGTTCTACACTCGTGATGAGACTGCGGTTGGTGCAAACGCGGTTCACCCAAACCCACTCAAAACTCTGAGCACCACCTCTGCCTCCTGAACCAATACATGGCAGAAGTTACGGCGGAGGTATTCCCCACCCCTTTGTGATGCATAGCTGCTTGTTAGGGAATGTGCCTCAACTGATTGGGTTGGCAGAAAGGGGTGGTGGCCAGAGTTTTGAGTGGGCTTAGGCAAACTCAGTAGAACTGGGTTTGCTCCAAGCGCAGTCTCACCACCTCTGCCTCCTGAACCAATCCGTGACAGCAGTTGCGGCGTGGGTATTCCCCGCCCCATTGTGATGCATAGCTTCTAGTTAGGGAATGTGCCTCAACTGATTGGGTTGGCAGAAAGGGGTGGTGGCCAGAGTTTTGAGTGGGCTTAGGCAGACTCAGGAGAACTGGGTTTGCTCCAAGCCTAGCCTCATCACTATTCTACACAATATTGAGATTATTATTATTAGCATAACTCTGATCTCTTATATATACAATACAATAAGAAATATATATACTGTGGGGGGAATTTATCAAAACTGGAGCAGGCAGAATGTGGAGCAGTTGCCCATAGCAACCAATCAGATTGTTTCTTCAGTTTGTTCAGTTAAGCTTTGAAAAAGAAAGATGGAAACTGATTGGCTGCTGTGCAAAGCTGCTCCAGATTTTGTCTGCTTCAGTTTTGATAAATTCCCCTCTGTATCTTAAAAAGAAAAAATGTTGAAAAAACTCTACTTCCCTATGCCCTAAAAAATGTGTGAAAACAGCACCACATTGTATGTTGCAATATCCACTATCTGAATAACCAGTGTTCATTCACATGCATCTCTGCAAGCGTTCTTAGTAGCTGTTTTGCCTAAAGCAAACTCCTGTGTTTTATATTCCCTCTCTGGGCTGCTCTGGGCATTCTCTCCACTGATTTTTGCCACATTTCATTTAAGGTGAAAAAAAACACAGCAAAATCTGTTTCACAGATTATTTCATCAATTTTTAGAGACTTTCTCAACTTTTATTTGCCAAAAACATATGCCACGCTAAGCCAGCTGTAATCCATTATTTCCATTGGCGGGAAGATGGAATGAGAATTCTCTCTGGTGGTTGTTATAAGATCTGCCATTTTTCACACTATTATTTTAATTCCATAATTATTTTTCTGCATTTTTTTAACCAAACCGGCTATTTGATACCTTTTTCCCTCCCCATCTACTTCAAAACTTTCCATTTTAAATTTGAAGAAATATCTAGCAGCAATATGGGGTGAAAAGCAGTTATATTGCTGACTTTTAAAAAGAGGCCCCGAAATTGTTTAATGGGATAAAACTCAACATGCAAACTTCTTGTTTCTCTAGCAGAAGAGAAGCAAAAAGAATGCCTCCATTGTGTAAAATGCGATTTTATTCGATATTAAAAAACTACTGAAAGGTACTCACAAACAACCAATGGTAACATGCTTGTAGTGATAAGATCTCAGGATGGTTGAGGATGGACAAACAGATGAGGCTTAAAAGTGCTGGTGAAGAACCTGCAGGTTGTGACAAAAGGGGTTTGGCGTGTCACGTGTCAACTGGAGGAAGATGTGCATCGAGAATGATTTAGCTCTTCACCAGCACTTTTAAGCCTCATCGGTTCGTCCATCCTCTACCATTCTGAGATCTTATCACTACAAGCATGTTACCATTGTTGGTTGTTTGTTAGTACTTTTCAGCTGTTTTTTAATATTGAATAAAATCGCCTTTTACACTATAGAGGCACTCCTTTTGCTTCTCTTCTGCTAGATATCCAGATTCCCTTACTGTGATTAGCTGCCCCCGTGCCTCTGGAGTTTTTCCTCTTCCCTCAATAACTGTTACATTTGGTGCCAGTGATTTTATCTTTCAGTGTCGTTGGTTCTTGGTTTCTCTGTTATGAGCAGTCTTCACAGCAATGCTGCAGGTGCTGGATAAGGTAAGCAGACTTCTACAGGGGTTAATTCAGTGTCAGGCTATATTCACACATGGAGTTCTAGGATTCCTAGGAGCATAGCAAATAAGTATTTATTTCCTATGCTCTTCAGCTACATCTAGTGGTTATAATGTGGCATTTTCCAAATGTTACATTCAACCTCAAAGGAAAATCTACTAAGAATGTTCATTTTTGCCTCTTTGCACAGAACAAACGTTCCCAGAGATTGGAAGAGTGAAGGGATGCGATGGGCTACCTGCAAGACCTTTCTATTTTGGCCCCATATTCTTTATATGCAAAACCATATTCCATTGCTACAGCTCTATTCAGGAGTTTATACATTTACCTGCTCCATGAAGACAATCAGAGACTCTCTGTTATTTTCCCACTGTTCGGCCAATTCGCTCTCATGTGGGTACTTGTCACAGTCCAGATATATGGAAATCTCAAAGCAGTTGGTGTGAAGGTAGCTGAAGTCATTGATACCTAAAGGCAGTAATAAGGAACATGCATAACAAACAAATAAAATAATAGAAAAGCAACAATAGGATGAAAAAATCTAACCAGTAAGAGCAGAATCCATTACAGAAAGATACTTACACTATAGTCTTCTTTAACACTAATTTATAGTCTACTCCAAACCAATAATTAATTTATGGGTGGGAACTGGTGAACTAACATATCCTCTGACTTGTTATAGCTCCAGCAGTTGTACATGTATCCTTCTGCCCCTTAAAAGGGGAGAATTGTTGTAGAAAACTAAAAAAAAAAAACTTCAAAGGGAAATCATCTCCAGAGGCAACATTTTCTCCAAGTTCAGTGGTAAACCCGCCAAAACTATTGTAGGCCAAATTATGTCACACAAATAGAGATGCAGCCAGAGATACATTGTACTAACAACGTCCATTTCCATAGTCTTATCTCCGCTATCTTCCTGTTACAGCAGTTGCGCAGGTGTCTAAATATGAGTTTGGAGTCCAAAAGCCACCAGAATTAGATCCAGTGCTCAAAGCAATCAGCAATTAGGAACAGTCCTGGTCTGACATGCCCAATCCCCAGTAAAAGTCTATGTAAGGACATGTGTGATGAGGGTTACCCACCACTGGTGTGGCTGTTACCCACCACTGCCAGCACAGAGCACTGCAGTATGAGTTTAGGAGGCAGCATTTTAAATAATGGTATTTTAAGTTATTTTAAAGCACAAATCAGCCACAAATCATACCATGACTAGAGATAGAAAGGCATTATACTATTGAGATTGCAGGTAGAGGGGTCCCAAATACACGTAAATCATATCACAGATACTTCACTAATTGAGAGGCAGGCCAATAAAACTCTTCTGGGAAGGCGTCCACAAGGTTTAGGAGTGTGTCTATGGGAATGTTTGACCATTTTTACCAGAAGAGCATTTGTGAAGTCAGGAACTGATGTTGGACGAGAAGGCCGGACTCGCAGTCTATGCTCTAATTCATCCCAAAGGTGTTCTATCGGATTGAGGTCAGGACTCGTCAAGTTCCTCCACCCCAAACTCGCTCATCCATGCCTTTATGGACCTTGCTTTGTGCACTGGTGCGCAGTCATGTACAGGAAGGGGCCATCCCCAAACTGTTCCCACAAAGTTGGGGGCATGAAATTGTCCAAAATGTCTTGGTATGCTGATACCTTAAGAGTTCCCTTCACTGGAACTAAGGGGCCAAGCCCAACCCCTGAAATACAACCCCACACCATAATCCCCCCTCCATCAAACTTTACACTTGGCACAATGCAGTCAGGCAAGTACCGTTCTCCTGGGAACCAATACTCAATGTCCCAATACTTTTGGCAATGTAGTGTATAGACTGTATATAAAATCTGTCTTATATCTTGCTTTATAAAGCATTCTCTTTGTCTCTTCTCAGCTACAACACACAACTATGGACTATGTACCTCCAAGAATCTCTAGATCTCTATAATGAGGAGGACGCATAATTAAACCCAGTTGGATTGTTGGCATATTTATTGTGTCTTTGTTGATTTTTCACGCAGCTGTTTTTAATAACCGCCATTTACTGTACCATTAAATGTAAATAAGATGGTTATAGACTGAAATTTCCATTGAGTCTGTTATTTGCCTGGATTTGAGAATGCGGTTAATTTATGCTGGCTCAACAGGTGGCCCCATACAATACAAGGGTTCTTTGTTTTATTATATTTTCTCTTGCTTGTTGAGCATTGTAGAGTGTGGAATTAATTATATTGTTGTCCACATGACCACCCATTGCTGGAAGAGCCCTCAGGAAAGCCAGTAACAGGAGGAAGAATATTACAAATACCAGTTTTCAATGATTCTTCAAGGTTTACGTGTTTTCAATTGTAAAATGTAAACATTTTGTTTTTACTGTAGCACTCCAACCAAATCTTTCTTTTTTATATTGATGGAGGGGGGTAGATGTAGAACTTCTGTTTGGTGTTTATTGCTGCCAGTGTTCCCAATAAAATGTATCTCAGTTGTCTCTTGAGGACAGGGAATGATGGGAAATCTCCTTAATGTGAACAGAGTATTAGAAAAACCTTTCAAGCTGAAGCTAGGGGGAGGGGCCGGCAGGGTGCTGTACATAGCTTCTTGTAAATATCACAGCACCCTGCCTCAGAACCTCTCTTAAGAGCCCTCAGCCCGGTAAAAGCAGTGGGTTAGCTCTTGGGAGGTGTTATTGAGGTAATATCAAAATAATCGGATGGATGGATGCCAGTCTGGAGGAGTGGGTATTCCTAAGCAGACTGTATTTACATACAGCCTGCCCTAGGTAACGCTCGCAGGTGATGCTAAGCCTTCATGATTGAAAGGACTGAAATCCAACAAAAAATACGGTGGGCCAAAGCCAGTAAGGCTGGAGAGGAAATAACAAGATGATGCTGGATGTCCTCTAGCTGGGAAATGAGGTGGGCTCTGTCTGATTTGCTGAAACTTTAAATTCACACTGTTAGAAGCTCGCAGTGTGCAGTTGAATCAGAGTAAGCAATTACAGTACAGGAGAGGAGCCGGTACAACTGTGCAAGACTGAAGGGAAGGCTGGAGTTCAGATTTAAAAGTGTGCATGGGTCAAGGCCCTGCCAAGTTATTACTGCTGGGAGAGTTTCCATTCCCTACATGGGATACTTCTCCACTCCTAACTAAAATGTTTTATTTCTTGTGTTCTTTTTAAAAAAAAAAGTAATTTTCCTCCTACAGTGAGTTTTTCGCTGTACAGTTCAGTACTCCATTCGAGTTTCATATACCTAAACCAAAGAGTCTATCTGTTCCCGAAGGGATGGCACCATCTTAGAATTTATATTTATATTGAATGATGATACCGTGTTTCCCCGAAAATAAGACACTGTCTTATATATTTTTTGGCTCAAAAAAAACACACTGGGTCTTATTTTCAGGGGATGTCTTATTTTTTGTTTTATGTATAACAATCCAAAGTTATTGCAAATCCAAATTAAATAATCCAAAATGGCAAAGTTAAGAATAGGGTGATTGGGGCAATCAGGGGTGCCATACCATTCCAAGAGCAATTTGGTAACCAGAATGAGCGAAGCGCGCTTTCACTATAGATTCATCACAGGCGGAGAGCATTTGGTATCACTCCGCCTGTGACAGGAGCCGGCGCTATAGAGGAAATATCAGCTTATGCGGCTCTGCTCCCTCCGCTGCCGCCTCGCTTCCTCTAGCGCTGGCTTCGTTGGCACCGCTGATTCTCTCCCGTGGCTCTTCAGGTTCCCCCTTATGCCAGCACCGGCCCTGGGAAAGGTCACAACTAGGTCTTATTTTCGGGGTAGGTCTTATATTTTAGCAATTCCCAAAAATAGTACTAGGTCTTATTTTCGGGGTAGGTCTTATTTTCAGGGAAACAGGGTAACAGGTGTTGGCACATTCCTGAAGCATCTACATGCATATATGGGAACACTACATAAAGGGGAATTATAAAGAGCAAGTGCACTTACTGCCAGCCACTGTGTGCCACGAGGCCCCATTCACAGTGCCCTCCTCTTTGTTAAAGTCTTCAGCGTGGCAGGGCCTTCGGCTGGAGTCAGTCATATGCCGATGGGTGGAGGAGTATGAATAGGACAGCCATCGGAACACATGATCATCTGGTGTTCCTGTATATTCCTGCGTCTTCCATTGTGAGCGCACCATGTCAAAGGGATACGATACCACCAGCTCCCCACCCTGCAGGTTTGCTCCCAGTACAAAGGGGATCTTTTCCATCCATGTGATGAGAGCACGGGTCTCTACCGCCACCTACAGGCAGAAAAACAATGAACTAATGTATTTGGGAAGCACTAAGTGGCTCATTCAATAAAATTGTCATTCAACAAAACACAAAGCACACAGAGTTGTACCTGTACATCAAATCACAATCCGTTTTACTACAGTAAAGTGAGCTCTGATAGACTGCTATGGGAAAAAGCACTTTCAGCTTTGAATAAGCACAAACATTGTACAGTGAAATTGGAACTGTGGGGGTGGGGGAATGGAACAAGACAGTACTATTATTTTTATCTAAAAATGCTTTAATGACAAATATACAGTAGGAAGGGAACATAGCAACACCCATGCTGGTAACCAAAAATGCAATGACTTAGTGGTTAGCACTTTTGCCTTGCAGCACTGGGGTCCCTGGATCAAGTCCCTGCCAGGACACTATCTGCATGGAGTTTGCATGTTCTCCCTGTGCTTGTGTGGATTTCCTCCAGATACTCTGGTTACCTTAAACACTCCAAAGACATGCTGGTAGGTAAATTGGCTCCTTAGTCTAAATTAGCCCTAGTATGTGATTAGATTGCAAGCTCCTTGAGGGCAGGGACTGATGTGAATGCTCAGTTTGTAAATTGCCAGTGCTGTATAAATACCTGTAATAAATAAAGGTACACAATGTTTTGTTTGTCTGTCTGTATATCTAAGGAGAGGGTAGATAAAAGGAAATTAAATATATTATTAAAACATCACCTGTTGTACTTCTCCTGTAACCTTTCATTATAGTAAATTTCCATAATCCCTTGCACACTAGTTAGATTTTTAAATCAGGTTTACACCTTGCTATAGAAATAACAGAAAGGCACTAGAGCTCCTTTTCCCTCCACTAATTCACTGCTTGTTTTTAATAGGGTTTATACACATGGTGGCATAACTAGTAGAGTGCAATGAAAATGTGCAAAATGCATTAACCTGCAGCAGCCTATCAGATCACAGATTACTACAGTCAAAAAAGGTGCAATCTGATAGGTGGTATAGATTACTTCACGTTATATATGACAATTTGCACTTTGCATTCACTTCTTGTATAAGCAAGTCAATCTCAAAGCAGTTATTGTTGGAAGTGGCACTGCATATGTAATAGTTTTGATTCTTTATATTGCAGCTATGTCACATATGTGTAGTTATCAAGCTGCTTCTTGGGCCATAGGTGCCCCCCACTCATTGGGGGCCTTGGATGAAAACTAAAGTGCAATAGATAATGCAGCACCAAAAGAATAGCTTAAGAAATTGATTAGGGAGGGTAAAATCATTTTTTCTGTATTGCCCATAGGATACAGTTTGATGGTATTAAACAACGTAGGGCTGTACCGTTACCTACAGGAGAAATTAACATTTAAACTGAAGGCCTGCCACTTCAAGGCTATAACCACTTCCATCTCATTGGTTATGCTTAGTCTCCTCAGGAGAATGGATGTCTCCTTCCTTTCTGCTAAAATGTTTGCTTGATTTTGGAAAAGTGTCTACTATCAACTGCTGCTGATAAATGCATGCCAAATATTTAAAATTCTGGAACTATCTCCAGTCGGCCTACGAGCACTGGTAGATTCATGATGGATATATTAAATCCTGAAAGTTTCTCCAGGCCACTGGGTGCAGGTTTACCCAGTTTTTCCATGCTGGGGTTCTCTCTCTGATGGTCCTGCATTCCTAGCAGTGAAACCCCTTTCTGTGATTCGACTATCGGGACTTCATATTTAAGGTGAGCCCAGAATTGTCCTTGTTGAATGTCAGGGCCAGGGCATAACATGAGTATGTGCAGTTCCAATGGCCAGGCTGGAAATACAGCATGTACTGCAGCTATCTCATATGCAGCATACTGGAGAGCACAGCACTTTGTTAGTATTGCCAATTCTGCTGGATACTGTGTAAGGGACTAAATCTTCAATCACTTTTATTTTTGCTGTGCAATGTTTCTGCCTGGCAGATGGGCAGTGTATTTCTAATCATGTTCCTGTTGAATTCCCCTCCATTTACATTTTGGCAGACTTTTTGTCTGGGTGACGCAATTTTGTATTTGTGCACATAAAAGTGGCCACTAACAATCACTCTGGCTGCTTCCTGTTCACACTCTGCTGCCTTTACAATTATCAGAGGCATGTGCACACTCACTAAAGAGAGTTCTGGCCACTTCCTGGTCGCACTCTGCTGGCTTCATCAGAGGCGTGCACTTACACTCGGTGGCACAAATCACTTTTGCTTAACCCTTGGTAGACTAGTCTGGGTCTGTGAGTATTCCTAGGGGATTGGTAGCTCCTTTCCAAAGGTACATACTGTACATGTTTTCTGACTCTACGCAACATGTCTCTTTCTAAACAAAAGGGCGATCGGTCTGCAGCTACACATGAATCTTCTGCTCCTGGCATGATTTGCAATGTATGCAATGCAGAAATTGGCACAGTAAAATATTGTGCAGCTTGTGCTTTTAACTTCAATTATTTTTTATTGAACATTTTCGGTTATACACAGCAAAGGGATAACAGTGTCGATCAACAGATCAGGTCCAGGGAGGACCAAAAGGACAAATCAAGAAGGAAAGCTTGTGCTTTTAGCAAGTCAAAAGTCTCTGTCAGCAACTACTTCTGCACCATGTTTATTATCTGGCATTCCTTCCTCTCACTAAAGCAGTTTTTTCTTCTTCTGTTATGGAAGAGTATATGTCTCTTATGAAAACATTGTTGCATTCTCATTCAGGTTCTGATGCCTTATATTTGTTGATTGGTCGGAGATCCTCCAGAGGACTCGTTATGGGAGGCTGCGCCCCTTCCTTATGTGGAGGAGTAAGTTATCAGATGCTGTGTCCCTTCCTTCCCTGGAGGAGCAACTTTCAGTCACTGTTTGTGTCAAAGCACCAGAAGGAAACTATTTCCTTTTTACTTGAGGCAGCGCAGTCTACTTTAAATTTAGAGTATTCCACCATTACTTCACCTAACACAGAGCCTAGCCTTGGCTCTCAGCCCTGAACGTGCTGCAAAGGTTTTTCTTCTTCATTCCATATTTAATACATTTATTTACAAAGATTGGGATTTCCTGGACAAGCAATTCCTTGTCCCCAAAGGATTCAAAACACTCTGCCACTTTCTGGAAAATATTCTTTAAAAATGGTCTACTCCACCCAAGGTTGACTCTCCAGTGTCCCATCTTACAAGGCCTCGACCACCCCCATCATCAAAAGTTGGAACCACTTTCAATCCATCTACTCCTTAGTGGGATCAACCCTTCACTTTTTGCTAGCCATTGGTCTTATTTCCCAGACTTTAGCTGGTGTTGATCCTCACTTTACTCTTTGCGATAATCCGACAACTGCCCCATCATTATTTATGTGAGAGGTCATACTAGACCAATCTGGCTTTAATGCTGGTTGGTGTAGTAAAATTGTAAGAAAGGCTTGTTAAAACTACTCTTCATTTTTACAGCTATTAGAGCACTCATTTACGCCAGATGCGCAGAATATATAATCCCCATCAGGGTTTTTTTTGCCCATTTGTGTCCAATTTAGGAGATTTAACTTCACTATACTACAAAGGTGTAGTGTCACCTTTGGACACTACATGAAGTGAGAAGAAATCTCTTCATAGTAATTGCAATCCCCTCATAGACAGTTCTCACCAAAACAAATGTCCCCTCTGGAAGATCCCACTCTATTTCTACTCAGGTGACAGCTCAAAATGTTGGCTTTTTCCTCACTTTCAGTGCGGGTGACAATGACCAAGACAAATAGAAAGGGTCAATCTTGCAAGCGTTGACACACGCAGCAATAAAAATATCTCACCAGTTTTGGCTTGAGATTCTATGACTGCATTATTTTGAAGCAATTTTATTCTGCTTTTTAAAGATCCAAAACTTTGCATTTCTTTTTATAAGAAGGTTAACAAAAGGCAGAATAGAGACATAAAGATACCAATTAAACAGGCAGACCACAGCCACCAGTGCACAAGATGAAATGCTTTTCTTCAAAAATAAGTCTGGTTGTTAGTAAATTATGCTAAATGTTTAAATATGAAGAAAATCTAGACTACTTCAATTACCATGCAAGCTAAATAGGATTTCACTACTAAGATAAACTAAAATAGATCAACAATGTGGCAGAGAATTCATCCCACGTTGAAGCACTTAAAAAAGAAAAGCAATTATACAGAGAAAAGTCTAGTTTGTAAAACAAAAAGAGTTGTAGTTGTAGATGTAATTATGCTGTATACTGATAAACGCTTTTCCTGGCACAATGGTGGTCAGTAAGTGAGATTTCAGGGGCCTCATTTTATTTCCTAGACAGTACTTGCATGTCTACCATTACTAATCCCCAGCCGCTCACAGCTCTGAACGTTACCGTATTATTTCCTTAGTGTCCATGGTAGCAGGAGGCAGCTGAGTGCCAGAAGGGAAGGTGACAAACTTGTCTCATGCTTGCAAAAGACTAGAGGGGGCTGCCAGAAAAAAGATTCTCACTTTGCCAAATGACAAGAACTTTAATGTGGCCCCTGATACTTTTAATGTCCACACATTGTATTGTTTTTAACTTGATGAAACCATCATGTTAACTGGCAATATATTTGTATGATTTTGCCATTAATGAAGTGATTGGGATTCCTAACTAAAGAGTAATGAACCCAATACTGTAATTATTAGCCATCAGAACTAAATAGAAATACTGAAGTTTCCTAGTACATGCTTAGGAAACACAATCAAGATAAAATGAGAAAACTACAGAACCATTAAGAGTAAAGTCCCTTAACAACATAAGTATGGGAGAAGAGTCACAGAACCACAGAGGTGCAATAGAGAAGTCAAAGAAGCACAAAGGTAAAAGAGAAGAGTTAAAGAACCACAAAGGTGCAAGAGAAAAATTACAGACCCACAGAGGTACACAAGAAAGAGTCACAGAACCACAGTGGTACAAGAGAAGAATCACAGAACCACAGAGGTACAAGCGAAGAATCACAGAAACACAGAGGTACAAGGTAAACGTCAAAGAACAGCAGAAGTACAAGGGAAGAGTAACGGAATCACAGAGGTACAAGAGAAGAGTCACAGAACCCCAAAAGATACAACATAAGAGTCACAGAACCATATTGGTATACCAGAAGCGTCACAGAAACACAGATGTACAATGGAAGACCCACTGAACAACAGAGGTATAATGGAAGTGTTGCTGAACCATAGATGTATAATGGAAGTCGGAGAACAATAGAGGCACAATGCAGGAGGCACTGATCCACAGAAATACAACTGAAGTGTCACTGAACCATGGATGTACAAGGGAAGAGTCGCAGAACAAATATGGTATATTGTGAGAGCTACAAAACCATATAAGCACATTTTAAGAGCCACAGAACTACAGATATACAATGTAGGAGCCTTAGCAGTCCTTCAGTTAGGCATCACTTAAGCCACCTAATGCAGTCCTTTTAAGCCTTTTTTTCCCATAAGCCCACTTATGTTTGTTCCCAGACTTACCGTGGCATTTTGGTACTGATACCAGTCAGGGAGTGGGATGTGGTTATTAGGGACCCTGCGGAGATTCCTTGGGCGGTCCTCTGACTCCCACAACAATGAGTTCAAGTCTGGAAAATTGTTGTTTATGTCAATCCCATCGGATGTCCAGCGGCCCAGTGACCAACCACCTAATTCTGAGCCCTGTAATCATTGCAAAGAGTTAACTGAAACATCATGCTTTCTAAAACAACCACAACAGATATGATACTGGGCTTCATTCACTTCACTATTTAATCTTGCTGTAAACCGCCCAGAATAAAGACATGTATCATAAGAGGTATGCACCCAGCTCTATGGAAAATACTGATGTAATGGCACCCATAGAGTACAACATTCATCAAGATATACCTGAAATATTCAATAACTGTTTGTGACAGTCATCTAATGCATAGGCAACTATTGACAAAGGGCATTCAACAATAAGGGCATGTTCACACTCAGTGCATTTTTATATCATTGAGCTGCATCTTCCAGTGCACGTAAAATATATAGACCAGAGAAAATGCATTCTTTTATATAGAGTCTGCTCACTCCAATGTATTGCATTTCAAAAGATTCCTGCATGTTCCATATTGGGTGCATTGACCTGCATTTTGACATTCAAGTCTATTCAAGAATCCTCCTAAAAATGCAACACAACTAAAACATGTAAACACATGTCATCACAACGTGGGCTAACAAAACATTAATCGACATGACAAACTGACAAATATTTGTGGGAACGCTTATAATAATCTTCCAACACACAGGGAAAAGTCTGTTGGAGCATAAATTCATTTCACTTAGCAATCCACAGAGAGCAGCCATTAAGCTGTGCATATATTTGATGATGATAATGATAATAATAATAATAATAATAATAATAATAAAAACCAATAACCAATACAGGTGTTTAGCAATCATTTGAAGATAGAGGGGAATTATCATGGGAATTCATTCAGACTGAATATCTGGCTGTGTAGTCAACCAAACATACGCTAATTGTTATAATTACATGATCATTTCTTGCTGATTAATACTCTTGAAAAAGTTGTTTCCAATAACCTAAATCACTGAGGTACATAGAAAAGGATTGTGCTAATTAAAACACTATATTTCCTATTAAAAACCTTTATAGATTACCACATTGTATGAATGATATTCTCCAACGAATACCATAAACATATGGATCTAATATACACAACATATGAAATAATGGATCTGTTTACCAGTTCTGCAGCCTTCTCATATCCATCAGGGTTGGCAGATGGGAGGAAATGGAGGCGGGTGTTATGGATGAGCCGTAAGATGCGTTTATTGCCCATGTTGTACTCCTGACAGAGGAACTGCATCAATAAAAGCAGGAGTTCCCTTCCCAAAGCTTCATTTCCATGGGCTCCCGCCATGTAGCGAAACTCCGGCTCCCCTGAATAAAGGGAAAAAACAAGACCACCGGAAAAGGGCAGGATTAAACACAGCACTATGTCATAGGAGTTTTGGGTCTATGAGCATGGTCAGCAACCCTGGTAGAAAGTCAATTTAAAAATTTACTGAGTGCAGGTAGGAAATTATCAGGAGAACACTTTCAGTGTTGGGCAGCACCATGAATGCAATAGCCGACAGTGGACTCTGAGATTATTCCAACCACACTAGGGGAATCGAGCCATGAGCAGCCAGCATTACTCATACATGTATTCTAGAAATCTCCTTTTTTTATTATTATTATTATTATTATTGGGCATTTTGCACCATGTTCATACCAGCATCTAGGTGCAAGTAAAGCATCCATACTTCATAGACGGACCCTTAATACAACAGGTACACTTTAGTGCGGGTTGATGGAGAAACTCTATTCAAAAATATATAACTAAAATCACCTTGAGACAATGAATGCATGACAAGAGCATAATGTCAACTGGATTTTTTGTATTAAAATCACATAAAATTATGCATACATGAGTTAGAGCTTATGTAATTTCTGTAAAAAAAAAAATCCATAGAAACTAAACTAATCAACACTGGAGCTTCATATTATTCGCTATGATACTGGAACAGAATTAAAGAGAACTGACAGTAATTATGATAAAGGGAATGGATCACTGAGAACAGTGTTTAGACATTCATCAGCTCACTAATTTGAAGTATGGTTTAGAGAGTTTGTCTAGGGTGATATTACTATGCAATACTAAATTTTGTTAATTTTTTATAATTATTTGCTGTAGGCAACAAAGTGCACGGTTAAATCTGCCAGACAGCTATAGGCAAATATCTGATTCAGAGTCACATATTAAAAAAATTAGGTAGTATGTTTTTCCAAGAAGGGGGATTTCCATATTGTTGCCACCTATGTCCTTCTAATCCACATGTGACAGATTCCCTTAAAATTACTCTAAAACCAAAACCTAAAATAATGCAGCCATTCTCCCACTGCCCGTATCATTGATCCTTGCTGCACTGAAGGGTAAATACCAGCTCAAGAGTCTTTAGAAACCAGCACTTCGGGGAGTGTCAGATTCCTAGTCCCCTGCTACGCTTGCTAGTTGGATCTGCTGGCCTCTACATCACTAATGTATCCTATAGTCAAGTAGCGGTCGTCAGAAGGATACACACCCCACAGAGGGAGACCAGAAAATGGACTCTCCCGTAAGTGTCAGTTTCTGAAGATTTTTCAGCTTGCAAGATTACTCTGGTGTAGCAGAGATTGGCGGAAGAGGGGCAGTTGTATTGTAGGTTTTGGTTTTAGTATGTAACTTATATATACACAATAGAACTTTGCCTTAAAGGAGAACTATGGGGTAAGTGTTTTTCCCCATAGTTCTCCTAAGGGTCACTGGAGGACACAAACCAGCGACCTCCCGTGACCCAAAGCTCAGTATACCGCGAGCTACAGATCGCGGTATACTGAGACCGCCACAGCTGGTACGGATCCTGACATTACTGACGAGATCCACCCAGCTGTGTGATTGACATTTGGCTCTGCCTATCTAGAGGCAGAGCCAGCTGTATCCACCCCCTCCCCCATCTGTTCCGCCAGTCAGCGCTGGAGGATCGGACAGGGGGGAATCCCTGCAGGGAGCCGTGAGTGACAGTCATGGCTCTCTGCAGGGACAGGATCGAGAAGTGAGCAAGCGACGGTATGTGTTCGCCCACTTCCCGATCTATTGAGCCGACGTGTGACAGTTTCTTTGTCACACGTCGGCTCGAACTATGAGGATGAGTGATTTTTCACTCACCTCATAGTTCTCCTTTAAAGGGTATTTCCATTCAAAATTTATATTTTCAGATTTAAAGGAATTCTAATAAACTCAACAAAAGTTTTTTTTTTACCACTTAAGGATCCCGTTGGCAGGATAAAGGTGGCACACACCGGCCCGTTCAGCATTTATCTTCCGAGCACCGTTCTAACCAGCCGAGAATCGTACGATTCCCGGCTGGTTTTCGAACATGCTGGTTCGACAGAAGACGTGCGACCGTACAGTAGAAACGGTCGCACGTCTCCGTTCACACTGCTCGATTATCGTACGAAAA